CCCCCCCCCCCCCCCCCCCCCCCGGAGCCTGGGAGATCCCAGCATGGCCGGGAGTGGTGTGGGGAGAAGAGGGGTTTGGCCTGTAAACCTGGCCGCTTGACCCTGGGGGTCACTCAGAGTTCTGGTAAGCTGTGTCCACACACCTCCCTTGATTATTCAGTTCTCCCTTGAGGTTGGGAAGGGGTCTGTGGGCCCCAGACTCCAGAACTCCAGCTCCCCTGCCCCCAGGGCTCCCTTGGGATCTGGACCCTAGGGTTAAGTAGAGGGGTTTTTTTTTTTGAGTTGAGGTCTCACTCTGTCATCCAGGCTGGAGTGCAGTAGCACGCTGGCGGCCACCACAGCCTCCACCTGCTGCGCTCAGGCGATCTTCCTGCCTCAGCCTCTGGAATAGCTGGGGCTACAGGTGCTGTCAGGCCTGGCTAATGATTTGTCGTAAAAACAGCATCCCACTATGTTACCCAGGCTGGTCTCAAACTCCTGGGCTCAAATGATCGTACCTCCTCAGCCTCCCAAATTGCTGGGGTTATAGGTGTGAGCCACCGCGTCTGGCTGGGTAGAGGGGCTTTCTTTTTTTTGTTTTTTTTTGGGGGGGGGGTTGGAATCCACTCTGTTGCCTAGCCTGGAGTGCAGTGGCCACTGCAACCTCGACCTGCTGGGCTCCAGCGATCCTTCCGCCATTCCAAGTAGCTGGAACTACAGGTGTGAGCTACCATGCCCGGCTAGTTTTTTTTGATTTATCGTAGAGGCGAGGTCTCGCCAAGTTGCCCAGACTGGTTTCGAACCCGCAGGCTCAGGCAGTCCTCTCACCTCAGCCTCTCAAAGTACCAGGCTTACAGGCTGGAGCCACCGTGTCCAGCTGGGGAGCGGGGCTTTCTGAGAGGCTTCCGCACCCTGCCCGTCTGCTGCAGAGTTGCTCACGCCTTCTCTCTTCCTCCCTTTGTGTTTGTGTGTCTGTTCCTGCGGCCACCACACAGGACTGTGCCCAGGCCCGAGGCTCCACCCCTGCCCCAGTGCCCGCGCCTGCCGCTGCTGGAGGATGAACCAGCCACAGAGGATGGCGCCCGTGGGCACGGACAAGGAACTCAGTGACCTCCTGGACTTCAGCATGGTGAGTGGGACGCCCCTGCCCTGGACGGTGTTTTGGGAAGCGCCCCGGCGCCGGAGCCTGTGGGGCAGCAGGTCTTCAGGTAGGTCAGGGGCTGAGCGGGAGGGATGTGGTCTGCACCTGCGCAGACTGGGAGACTGAGGCCCAGGGCGAGGGAAGGACCGGCCTGGCCTGCGGCTTTTCCTCCGCTTGGGCTTGGCTGGGCTGTGCAGCCCCGAGGCTCCAGCTTGGCTGGACGAGTCGGTGAAGTGGGCATGATCAGGGTCATGTGTTCGTCGTGGGTCTGAGAAGAAGCGAAGGGCAGGGGGCTGAGCGGACCCGGGCTGGGGCCCCTGTGAACAGGGCGGGCTGGTGTGGGCAGGAACACAGGCTGACACGACCTCCTCGGACAGGCCTGCGCCGTGGCGCGTGTGTCCTGGCGTTGCTGGGAGCCGGCACGGCCAGGCCACGGGCTGGGGTGAGAGCCTGACAGCCCGTCTTCCTGCTGGGCGACTGGAGGCCCAGAGGGTACAGTGCTCCAGGTGGGCTCAGTGCCCTTGGGTGCCAGGAGCTGGCAGCACCCTGAAGGCTCGGGCCTCTGTTTGCCTTCTGTGTGACGGGGCTGCAGGTTGTGTGTTCCTGGAAAAGCCCAGGAACCTTGTCTTCGCTGCTGACTCAGTTGCGGCTGGTCTCTTCAGTCTGGCAGGCAGCATCGGTCTGGCCCAGACTCGGGGTGGCGCTTTCAGTCGGAATCTAATCCTCCCTTGGGCTGGGGCAGCATGGGCCACCCAGGTCTGTCAGAAACAAAAGTTCTCCAGTTGCAGCCTGGAGAACACAGTGAGACCCCGTCTTGCTTCCTGCAGTGACACCTGCCTGTGATCCCAACACTGTAGGAGGCCGAGGTGAGGGGATCGCCTGAGCCTGCGGGTTCGAGACCAACCTGGGCAACTTGGCGAGACCTCATCTCTACGATAAATCAAAACAGTAGTTAGCCAGGCATGGTGGTGTGTGCCTGTAGTTCCAGCTTCTTGGAAGGCTGAGGCGAAGGGATCCCCTGAGCACGGCAGGTCAAGGCTCTGGTGGCTGTGAGTGTGCCACTGCCCTCCAGCCTGGGCAATGGTGAGACTTCGCCAAAAAAAAAAATAAAAGTTCCCCAACTCCAGCCTGGACAACATTGTGAGTCCCCATGTCTATAAAAATGAGGCCAGGCGCAGTGGCTCAAGTCTGTCATCCCAGCCCTTTGGGAGGCCGAGGCGAGAGGATTGCCTGAGCCCGCGGGTTCGAGACCCACCTGGGCAACTTGGCGAGACCTCATCTCTACGATAAGTCAAAAATTAGCTGGGCGTGGTAGTGCGTGCCTGTAGTTCCAGCTACTCGGGAGGCTGAGGCGGAAGGATCGCCGGAGCCCGCAGGTCGAGGCTGTGGTGGCCGGAGCGTGCCCCTGCACTCCGTCCTGGGCGACAGAGTGAGGCTCTGACCCAAAAATAAATAAATAAGAAATGTAAAAATGAGCCGGGCGTGGTGGCCTGTAGTCCCAGCTCCTCAGGAGGCTGAGGCAGGAGGAGATCCTGAACCCAGGAAGTGGAGGCTGTGGCGAGCCCGGTGGTGCCGCTGCACCCCAGCGTGAGTCTCCGAGCCCCCCCAAAAGTCCCCAAATGGGGACCACAACAGCCGCCCGGCATATAAACAGCCCAGGAGACCGTGGGCTGATTCCGGAAGGGCCAGGCTGGTATTTTTAAGCCCTGCTTCTGTTTGTCTCCCCGGCTGAGTACCCCGAGGGGCAGCGCGGTTGTTTTCTTGTTAAACTGACAAGTCACGGACCACTGGGCTGGAACAGACTGGTGGCGGGGGGAGGCCCGGGCTCGGCCCCACCGGACGTGGTCCCCTGCCCCCCCATCCGAGAGCCCATTTCGTAGACAGGAGACCGAGGCTGAGGGAGCTGGGGTGCCTGGTCTCTGGCCAGCCTCCCCGCGGGCTCTTCCTGAGTTTTACCCTCCCTCTTTTGGAGATGGGGTCTGGCTCTGTTGCCCCGGCTGGAGTGCAGTGGCGTGATTGTCGCTCACTGCAGCCTCGGTCTCCTGGCTCCAGCAGTCATTCCTCCTTGACCTCCAGAGGAGGCGGGACTGCAGCCTCCACCATGCCCGGCATACTTTGTGTTTTTGTAGAGATACGGTCTTGCTATGTTGCCCAGGCTGGTCTTGAATTTCTGGGCTACAGCAGGTGTGAACCCCCGTGTCCTGCTTCACCCTCTGGTGTCTTGTAGAGGGAGGCCTGCCTGGCCGGGTCAGGGGACGAGACAGTCCCGTCACTGCCCACACCCCTCCTCTGCTCCCTCATAGCCGCGCCATGTCCCTTGCCCAGAGAAGCTGAGCCAATTATTATTTCTTTTTTTTCTGAGTTGGA